AACAGGAGATGGATGGATTCCATCACGGAAGTCACAGCCTTGACCTTAGAAGAGGGTCTGTCATGGATAGGACATTTTGGAGGGCTGTCATTCATGGGATCAAATCAGAGGCAACTTGAAAGTCCATAACAACAACAAAGCAAAGCAGTCAGTCAGTCAGTCAGTCAGTCAATAAGATACTATATCTGAGAAGTGCAGAATTGGGACGTGAAACTCGGTCTGTAGGAAAGGTAGAGGAAAGAATGAGAGGAGAGGCATGTTTGCCTCAGGCAGATGAAAGTTTCTGCTCCCTGCTGGAAGTGAGATAATCAGCTTCCTGGTTTGTACATCGCTCCCCCTAAATCAGCTCTCTCAACAACTGCATGGTGGATGATTCACAGATTCACACAAGCCATTTGAACCTCCAGGATACTGGAACTCCAAGTTCACTGAATTCAGTTCAAGGAAACTCTGCTCCTGCACGGAAGGTTTTCCCCCTTTCTGCTTGTTAATTCTTTAATGTTTATTTGTTGCTATTTGCGACTGTTTATAGATGCCTGTTTAAGAATAGAACAGCTTACTAAACACTGCAGCCTGTGTAATACAGAAAGCAAAACAATCTGTTTCCCGTGCAAACAATGCAGGCTGCCAAGAGAAGAGAGTGTATCCAGAGCTACCATTGTGCGCACGGACGTCATTATTCTGCATGAAACAACAGTTGCCACAGAAAGGGTGCATCAAGGTGAGGATTTTCCTGTGCAATTGGCCTCCCCAGTGCCGGCTCCAGGTTTGGGGGGACACTTGGCTGGGACACCCTTAACGGGTTCCAGCACTCAGAGAATGGACCTTCCCAATTCCATCACAATCAGTTTTTCTTCATCTTCTTCGTCTTCTCTCCATCATCTACTGCTCTTTCTTCTCACCAGCAGCTGGAGATGTGTGAGGAATCCATTTGGGGGCTGAAATCGATGGGATTCCCTGGGCTCGGCATCCTGGACTCAGGCCTGCCTGCTTTCTCACAGCCGTGAGTCCAACCCGAGGCAAGCCCGCCAAGCTGGTCCATGGGCACCCACCCAGAAAGGAACCCAGGCGAACACTGTGAAGTAGCGCCTTTCTCCCACACACAAGACCTTCAGCCTTTGTTTGTGCTGCGTGTGCTGCAGAAGAAGGTGGCTGGCTGAACAGCCAGAGCTCAGCCAGCACGTGCCAACTTCTTCTCAGCTCACTTCCCAAATGAGTGCCAAACAGGACAGGAAGTCCAAGACACAGAAGAGGGCTGGGCTGGATTCCGGAGAAGAGCATCGCAACCCTACGCACCTCCCAGCACTGGCTGAGCCCAAGCAAAAGTGGCAAGCGGGGCTCCTTCTCAGCAGGGTGCTGCAAACAGCAGAAATAAACTACCTTTCTCAGGTGGGCAAGGTGTGCCCCATCTGTTCTTCTGTGAGCACCACCAAAGCTGTGCTGCCATACCGCAAGAGTCCGCTGCCAGCTGTTGGCATCCAGGCACTGAACCTGCTGGTCCCACTGGCGCTGTGCTCATTATGACAGCAGAATGGCCCGGGGGGGGGGCACAGTTCTGAGGGGAGAGATGTGCTCAGTGGACCAGCTGAAGTGGCCCATCCCGCCTCTGCCTGAAGGACTGCCAGAGTGCTCTGTGGGATGGGCTCAGAACCACCCGAAGGATGAGTGCAAGGTCTTTGAAGGTGTCCACCCACAGCCCATGGACAGCGGACCGAGCAAGGAGTTCAGGTCACCTGCTCACGGTGTTCTACCAAGTGGTGAAAATTTCTGTATTTCTATTCAAACTATAGTAATTCCTGAACCCACATTGATACAGATTAATCCGCATATGCCATTTTCATGCAAACAAGTGCACCGGTGTGCTCTTTTCTGTGGGATACATTCCTTATCTTTGGACGACTTGCCGGTGGCTACCTTACAGGTCAGTGGGCCCCTGCCAGAGTCTTCGACAGGTGAAGATGATTCCACACCTGGCCCTGACTCTTTCCCAACATTTTACAGGGATCCAAACCATGTGACCTTCCTTTTGAATCCCCCCCCCCATGTTTTCCCATTGCTTCTTCCATCTTCTTTCGTACTGGAATGAACATGGGGAGACAGGGCCAATAGGACTCCTCCACTTCAAGCAAGATGTTTCACTTGCCCCCCCAGAAAATGCCCAGTATCATGATTAGTGGAGAAGGAAGAGGAGGAGGAGAAAGCTCTGTTAATTCTGGACTGGAGGGGAAAAACAATACTCTGCTTTACTCTCTCTATCTTCCTGCCAGACCTCTGTCACTTGCAAGGTCCGTATACAGTATACTTTCATTGCAGGCCATCTCAACCGTATCCCCAAGTGCAGCACAATGATGTAAGGATGGGCTCCTTTCCCGGGATCTGTTCCTTGCTCTCCCATCCTTCTCAAACATTCCACACCACCGTCTGAAAGGAGCGCCTTCATTCCAGAAGGAGCATGTAGCCAAGACCTCGTGGGTGGGCATTAAAAATGGAACATCCTTCGACTAAGATGAATGAAGGGCCATCTATTGGGAAGTCATGTATCTTCATTTACAAAGGAAACAAGGCTGGTTTTGGCATATTTACTCTCTGCCCTCCCCATGCGTCAAGCTTTAGTGTTGTAGAGAACAATCAAACAAAGGGCTTATGAAAGAGCTGCTGTCTTTTGGAATAACACTTTTGTTGCAGGTTGGCTTTTAAGACTTAGGGCTTTTTGTGTTTACACACACACACACACACTTGGGCACTCTCACACACACATATACATCCATACATATAAGTTTGAGAAGGAATACTCCCAAAGATGTGACTATTCCTTCCCACTGAAGCAGTGTATAAATATTGTAAGTAGACTATAATAAATAAAGATTCAGGAAAACAACCAGCAATTTCAAGTATCCAATGTACTTGTTAGCAATTCAATGACGGAGGTTAAAATCCCAAAGCATCTCACCTCCCACTTTCTCCTTCCTTCCTTCCCCTCCCTTTTTAATATTTCTTCCTTTTACTATATAGTTGGGGGTAGGATATTTAAAACTCATATAGGTTGTCTAATCCATCATTTTAGGAATTTTAGGAAGCTAGACAAGCATGATCTCTCAATCTATCTCCCCTCCCCTCCCCTCCCTCCTTAATTTGCACAATGTTTTAGCCAGCCAAGATTTTTCCAAGATGCAGATTTTCAAAGAGTAAGGACAGTTGCAGGTCCAGCCATGAATCCAGCCATGTCCATGTGGGGCCCCTATAGGATTCCCCTCATTTATCCCAACTTCTCAGACCTCCCTCCTTTCCTCCTCTTCATCTTTTGTCTCCCATGTTGAGTTTTGGACTGAAAACTCCTTGGAGTAAGAAATCTAGCTTTTTTGCCTTGTGAAGGGCCATGCATGCTGCTGGTACATCAGAAGTTGGAGACTTACACTCAGTGTAGCCGAGCAGTATCTGAACTGAACTCAGCCTAGCAGTATCTGAACCCACCGGCATGACTTTCCACAACCTTGGGCAGAGGATTTTCCAGACCCTGCAACTGGTGACTTGTATAACTGGGGAAAGTCCTGCTTCTTGGTTTCCTGAACCATCCAGCTGAGCAGCTTTTGGAAACACCATGCTGGAGAGCTCTTGGTCTAATGCAGCAGGTCCTGTATAGTCTTCTGCAAAATATGCATTTGATCTCAATAAATTCTGCCTTCAATGCCTTGAGCCTTTTATTTCATGTCCTGCACTCTGGGATGATTGAGAAGAGGTGTTGGCCTTCCTCTTTGTGGCAGCCTTTCATGTACTTGTGAAGGCTATCATATCTCCCTTCAGTCTCCCTTGTCAGGGCTAAATATGCCCAGTTCTTCCGATCTCTCCTCATAGGGCTGAACCCCTTCCGGCTAGTCTGCATCCTTCCTAAACAGTGATGTACAGAACAGGACGCAGATCTCCAGACAAGGCCGAACCAGTGCTGAGTATAGGAGAGCTAATACTTCACAGGATTTGGAAGTAATGCTTCTATTTATGAAGCTTAAGATAGCATTTGCCCTTTTTTGCAGCCACAGCACGTAGTTGACTCAGCTTCAACTTGTGATCTACAACAATGCCAAGACCCTTCTCACTGGCAGTATCGCAGAGCCAAGTATCTTGGCCCCATCTGTAAAGATGTACTGAGTTCCTTTTTTCTAGGTACAGAACTTGGCGTTTGCCCCTGCTGAATTCCTTCCTGTGTTTTCAGCCCAGTGCTGCAATGCCACAATTTCCTCGTTCCCAATGAAGAGGAACTGCATCACCCCAAAAACAGTGATGCAGTGGAATAACAGTGGAACCAGCTGGCCAGAGGGGCTGTGGGCTTTCCCACTCTAGAGACATTCACAAAGAAACTGGACAGTCACCTGAGTGGGATGGTGTACACTGATGGCCTGCAACAGCAGGGGGTTGGACCCGATGGCCTTCTTGGCCCCTTCCAACTATATTATTATATGATTCTATGAAAGACAACAGAGGACACCAATTCGCATGAGGGGGGCATGTGCCAGTTTATATAGACAGGTGCAAATTTAAACATGGTGAATATAATTTAAATCAAAATACAATGTGTGTCACAGCAGCACAGAAGCTTGACAAGTTGGCCTACATGGCTTCTCAGTCCTGCCCTCCAGGTGCTAATTATGGACGGGCAAGTGGAAAGCTCCTACCCTCTTTATGGTTCTGTGGCATGGACTGGACAGTCCATCAAATGGAGCACTGGCTTCTGTGACTAGGGCACCTGAGTAATCTCATCTCGAAGGTTAGTTGCTGATGAGCATGGATGGGAGGGCACAATTAGGTTATGCAGATGGGCTTCCTAAAGGCACCTGCTTAGCCACTGTGAGAAGAGAATGCGGAACCAAATAGGCCTTTGGTATGACCCAGCGAATCTCTCCTCTGTTCCTACATTCTCAGTATTCTACGTCTTGATTGAGATTTTCATTAGGAATGTTGTCAACTAGAGCAAGTCATCCAGGAAGCATAAGGCTGAAACGACTTACCTCATCCACGTTCTCAAAGGCATTGATGATGTCATAAGGTAAACATGATAAGAGGTCTATCACGAACCAGGTCTTCAGGTAGTTCATCCTGATGAGTTTGGGGTCAGAGATGACCTCTCCACCAGGTCCCACAAAGGTGGTGTGAAAATTCAACACTATGTCCACCAGGAAGATCACATCTACCACGCTGTCCAGGACCAACCAGGCGATGTTGTTCTGCTTTGTCTTGAAGGAGACATTGTAAGGAACCATTATGGCTGTGTAGAAAGTGAGGATTAAGATGACCCAGTCCCAGGTGGTTTTGAAAGCGCAGTAATGTAAAATTATATGTGGCGGCGTCTTTGGAGCCTCTTGCTTGTATTGCGGAAGAATGTCAGAACCGAGCTGGAGGACCTGAAGCGAAAGAGGTTGTAAGATTGGTTCTGGTTCATGACTCAGTGACAGGCTGCAGACCCAGTTTGGCCTGGGCTGAAGTAGAACAGCCTCTTTTCTGACTGAAAGGACGGCATTGTTGGCAGAGCCCAAAGTTGTATCTTTAGAAGAACTATGGGGTCTCTGGGTCTCCCTGTCCCAGTTTCCCCACAGGGATCCCTCATGAATCCTCATCTCTGCACCCCTCAGCCTCTCGTCTCACAACCTGCTCCCTTTCCCTGTATTTCATGGCAAGAGCACACAAAAGTAAGACCCTAATTACCGCCTAATTGAGGAGTGCAGAACCTCAAACCTGCCATCCAGACTGGGCCCCCAGTTGGTCGTCTCGCTTCCACAGAAGGCTACGCTAGGGATGGGATGGCGCTCCACAGAATCTGCCCCTCTGTCATTTGCGGACTTCTCCTCAGGGTGGGTCCTGCCTCTGAAAGTGAGCCAAGCCGAGAGGAAGTCCACAGGTGTCCACAGGACAAAGGTGGTGCACCTGGCAATCTTCTTCCACTTCATGTGCCACGTCTCATGCAGCCAAAGAAGGCTGGTGCATATGATGCTGAAGAGGGACACTGCTTGCTCAGCATCACTGCAGGGCTCAGTCCCTGCGAGTGCAGCAGGGATGCTGGCCATGTTTGCCAGGAGCCTGAACTGCACCAAAGTGGAACAGAGTCCTGGGAGCTGACTCCAGGGATCCTGATCGAGTCCTACCCAAGCCAGATTCCTTGCACATTCCCAGCTATACCTGGTTCCTCTGGCCCACCCCTTTTCTGCCAGACATGAACGGATGGATGGGTTCCCTGTTTGGAGCAGTATTTTTCCCCATTCTGAATGGTTGAAATGCCTCCCCTAAGATATAGCAACTGACCCTAAGAGCCTTAAACTTAAACATGTGGACCTTTTTGGTATTTTAGGCCCCAGGCCTTTTGCACTGGCCTCACCCACCGCTGGAATGCATCCCCTAGATGCTTTGGTGCTCGGGATGCTAAAAGAGGCCCCCACAGCCTTGGCCTAAACCCAGTCAGCTGAACTTCCTGAGTTACACAAGGCCAAAGTGCAGCCACATCCACTTCTCTTTCTGAGCAGCTTGTCCCAAATTAAGTGACATTTTAGGGCAAGGGAGCAGAACCTCAGGCCTAGTCTACTCATGGGGAGGTAAATCCAGTCTCCCCATGTTCCCCAGAGGGCCACGCCCTCTCTCCCAGCTTCATCCCCTTTCTCCAAACTCCATATCAATTGGTAGTTTCCCAGCCTCCGTGTGCTTTCCCCCATCTGAACAGCTGAAATGCTTCTCCCAAAGCTGTGAGAACATTAAGATATGCTGATATTGAGGGCCTCGTCCCCTTAGACTTGGATGCCCACCTCCTTCTACCCTGTTTGAATTCTTGCCCAACACTCTGTGGGCTAACTGGGCACTTACTTCAGCCAACCGAGAGTGTTTATGGACCACCTCGGCTTTGTTCATAGGAGTGAGTTGCTGCAGAACACTCCGGCTGTTCGTCAGAGCTCGTGTCAACCGAGCAAACTTGGTCCAGCCTGTGAAGAAGGAGGAAAACTTCATGAGCTACCTGGGTTGTGCACGACCACCTGTCATTCGTCATTTGCGGGTAACAGTCCTAACAATTTTATAGGGAGAGCCAAAGGCAGAAGGAAAAAGGAAGACCAGCTATGGGATGGGTGGTGGACTCCATCAAGGAAGCCACAACCTTGAATGTAGAAGAGCTGAGCAGGGCTGTCCAGGACGGGACGCCTCGAGAGCTTTCGTTCATAGGGTCATCAAGAGATGACTTGATGGCACATAACAACAACAGTAACAGCATCTGCCATACATCCAGTTTAGAATATTTAGGTCTGCAAGGTAATGCTAAAGAGATCTTACTGGAGCCAGTGGGGGTTCTCATGCAAGCTTCTCTGGGGGGAGAAAGCCACAGTCAAGTCACAGTTATTGTAAGCTGTCCCGAGATGTCAGTGGTGGATGGGGTAGAAAAGTTTTAAATAAAATAAAATAAATAAATAAAAGGGCTACCACCCAGTACAAACTACATTTGAGGTCAGAAATAAATTGGAATCGGTATCAGGTAGAATTAGCTGAATAGGTGGATGTTTCCTATCATTTTCCAGGAACGTTTGGGCAAACAACAGTGTTTAAGGCTGTGATACAGAGAACAACTTTCCAATCAGACAACTTCTAGTGGAAGACTATAACATCATACATAAAATCTTCTGAAATCTGGTGAATACTAAATAGATGATTCACCAGGTGTGCCACTCCTAAAAATATCCAACAAGAAGGAACCTGGTTTTCTTCTTTTTTTTAATGATATATTCTGGAGCTAATCCACCACCACCACACCAATTAGAAGTAGCAATACCTGTCTAGGCATGAAATATAATGTTGCAAGCTTAGCTGACTTGATTTCTGTAAATGGATCTATCGATCCTCAGATCCTCCCCATTTGCTTACCGTGTCACCTGGCAATTCTAGCAGTGTATAAAACCCCCACTGGGAATTTTTTGCTTGCTTATTCATTTATATATTTTCATTTAAACATTTTGCACTTTCTTCAATGTTCCTGCACATTTTGCTCAGGTTGCGCTCCAGGTCTGGCCTGGTCAGAATGAGGAATTATTCTGGAAGTAAGTAGGAATTGTTACTCCACCCACAATATCCAAGGCAGTTTTCCAAAGACCTGTAAATAATGTCAACTCTCTAGATTCTGGGATGTGGATGTAAAAACGTAAGAACAGCCCTGCTGCGGAGCAATGGTCCACCCAGTCCAGCACTCCGTTTACACGATGGCAAAGCAGCTGCTCACAGGATCCCTCCCGCAGGATGGGCGCAAGTGGTCCCTCCGTAACCTGTGTCAGAAGTACAGGTTATGTGACAAGTGCCTGGAGAGCAGCCTCCGGGTGGTGCCGGAGGTCAGACTGGATGGCCCGGGAGGCCCCTTCTGACTCGCTCTGTTTCTATGTTTCTATCCGGCCAAGCTCCTCAGCCTGCCATGTATGTATGTATTTATTTTCGATTTATATCCTGCCTTTTTCCTATGAAGGGCTCAAGGCAGCTTACATCATTCTCCTCCTCCATCTTATGCCCACAACAACAACCCTGTGAGGCAGGTTGGGCTGAGAGTCTGGGACTGGCCCAAAGTCACCCAGCTGGCTTCATGGCTGAGCGGGGACTAGAACCCCGATCGCCTGAGTCCCAGTCCCATGCTCTTCACCACTACACCACACTGGCATTCTCCACACTTATCCCCACAACAACAACCCTGTGAGGCAGGTTGGGCTGAGAGTCTGGGACTGGCCCAAAGTCACCCAGTTGGCTCCATGGCTGAGTGGGGACTAGAACCCAGGTCGTCTGAGTCCCAGTCCCAGGCTCTTAACCACCACGCCACACTGGCCACACCACACTGGCTGACATGTATGCAGACACACTACCTCTGGTAGTGAAGGCAGCACCTATGAAGAGGTATTCTCAGGCCTCTTGCAGCCCAACTCTTCTGAAGAGTCACCGAAGGTGCCAGGCTGGCCTAGCTTTGCCTCCGGAGTGGCCACAACAGCAGGCACAGCTCTGGTGTCTGGCCAGGATGCGTCGGTGCTGAATCTCACCTCACGGAAAATCGAAGTGAGTAGAGACAAGCCTAGGGTGTTGACTCTCATCTTTAGGCAGGGCATCAATCAGAGATGCAAAGCACAGGGAGGAGTCCGCAGGTGACCACGTCCTTTTCTCCTTGCCCTGCCTCTTTCTCCCGGACCACCAACCCTTTCCCACTTTGCTGGCTTCCGTGCAGTTTTCTTCCCAGCCTCCAAAGGCTGAAATGCCTCTCCTACTTACGGGCAGAAAGAGGGTGAAGTTGGAACAGGCTGATGTTTCAGTACTTCCCCTTGGCCTTTGGTCCCACCCACCTCAGGAATACAGCCCTGGGAGCTTCTCTGCAATGGAAGGACGGCTTCTTCAGAACCCCCAAAGAACCCTTTCTAAAAAGCAAACTGAGATTACAGAAACCAGACAGCTGCCAGCGACTGCAGCATAATATCTGCATACTGTCTATGACTCTTGCATGCGTCTGAATTATCTCAGCTTAGTCAGCTATTTTGAATTTTTGATGACAGATGGTCAGTCGGGGAAGACTTATTCCCAGAAGTTCCAGTCATTAATCTGCATCACGATCAGATTAAAGCTTTTAATATTTGACTTCCTCCTCTTTGTATTAGAAAGGGCAGTGCATCCACACCAGGTGGCAGCCTGAACTTTTAAGGAGCTATCCATGCTGCTAAAGCCAGTTTGGGGTGGCGTACAGAACCATGGACAGCTCCTGGAAGTTCAGGCTGAAGCGCAGTGGTTACACCTCTCCCACTGCCCTGGGAAGCCCTCACCATGAGGAAGCTCCAGGCTGACCCTTCCTCTTTGGCCTTTCCATGCATTCAGTCTTGCCACCTGAGAGGAGAAGCCATTGCAGCGACCTGCCTTCCACCTTGCGTGGACCTTGTCTGGAGCCTCACAAGGCTTCAGGCACGCTCTCACAAGACTTGAGGTGGACGAGCGGCTGGAACAGGAGCGGAGGCATCAGAGCTCACTATGGGCATCCAGCAGGAAGCAACAGTGAAATTTTCCACAATTCACCCTTCTCTTCCCATCATTTGTCTCACCCTGCCTAATGAGAAGGCCAGCCATGCATTTGACGCTCGCCCTGAAAAAAAGACCATGACCACCACCAGGGTGTCCAGATGCTGCTGCAGAGCATGCTGCACCATTTTTTAAAATTAATTTGACACAGGAAATGGAATAAAAACCAGGCGGAATCGATGCTAAGTCAGGTGGGTACCGACAGGGGCTCCTTGGCAAGCATCATCCCACCCTGGTGACAGAGGCCTGGCAGCACTCCTGCTACAGCCCTGCTCATTGCTAGAGACCATCAGCACTTTCCAAAGGGCAGCCCACAGGCAACACTCGGGCCCTACAGACTCTCTAGCCCATGAAACTCCCCTTCCCTCTCCCTTGCCATGGCCTCTGAAGGAGACCACCCCCCAAAAGCGGCTCTTTGGATGGCACATTTCATTTACGTGATGCAGAAGGAGCCCTGCCAGAAGACGCACTCCATCTTGTAAGCGAACCAAAGAGGAATGTCTGCTCTAAGATGGCTTCTACTGCCTTCAGCTTCCTAATCACGGACATTACGAATTATGTAATTAACATTGTTTTTAATACAGACGTGTTGACCACTTAATCAGGCACTTTTTGCCAAGTTCATCAAAAGGGTTTTGAGCAGTTATTAATCCAACCCAATGGAAGGCTACCTGGTGGCCTTCCATATGAACTACAACTCTCATCATCCCTGGGCATTGGCCATGCTGGCACTTATAACCCTAAATATCTAGAGGGCACCATATTGTCTACACCCTGGTTGAACTAGCATAGGGGTCCCCAACCATGGTGTGTGCCCCATCTTCACTTCAGCTTCACTCCCTGCCCCCTTCAAAAAATTATTTTTAGTAAAAATCTTTAAAAAAACAGGGCACCAGTTTTTCCTTCTTATCCATGAGCTTGCCACTGGTCAGTTTCATGGGCAGAAAGAGATGGGAGGAAAGGGTTGCTTCCAGGCCCTTCCCAGTCTTCTCCTTCCCGAGCTCTGAGTCCTGCTGCACCCCTTTCCTTCTCTCTTTCCCCCACCCCTTGCCATCTTCTTTGTCAGCCATCCTTGCCTCTAGCATTGCTCCATCTCCCTCTCAGCCCCCTGATCTCCTGGTTTCTCTCCCCTCCCAGCTCTAGTGTTGCCCCTTCTCTTTCCCCTGCACCCCTTTGCCTCACTGTATTCCCCTCCTAGACTCAGCCTTGCTGTCTTTCCCACCACCTCTACTTTCCTCTTTCTCTCCCTCTCCCCTTCCCCATTCTGCTTCTCCTCCCCAGCCCCAAGGTCTGCTTTCCTTCTCTTCTTTCCAGCCCCTTCTCTCCTTCCCACCCACAGAGCATCTCCCCAGGTGGCAAGGAGGCGGCGGAGGTGCCAGATGGGCTGAGCCTGGGATCGCAGGAACACATGTTCTTTCCCTTGAAACTGGGCAGTGGGCTGTGTGTACACATAGGATAAGCACAGCAATGCTATGCAAGCTTGGAGAGAAGCAATTCCCACTGAGTTCTGTGAAAGCATGTGCAGGCTTGCAACCTGAAAAGGGCCTTTTGCTGAGCCTCTGGGAGTTAAATGTGGGACAGGGCTTTGGCGCTTCCTCTGCTTCTGCTCAATTTCTGGAGTGAAGGTTAGACACACCTTCCATGGCAGCCACACCTGCAGCACTTCCTCATAGCCTCAAAGGTGTCCATGGGTCCAAAACCACTGGGCACTCCAGATCGACGCCATCCGTCAAGTAAGGGTTGCAGCTCTACTAAGAAGGTTGCTTCCTTCACACACTTGAGCAAAGTTGGTGGATCTCACCATTGTTCCATCTAACTTTGAGAGTTCAGCAACTGCTAAGCCCTCAAGCTTCCTTCCCCAGGGCTGATTCACACAGTGAGCTTTTTTGAGCAGAAAGGGATGGTT